CTATAGGACTGTCCCACACTAAGTAGACATAATATCTATTAGTAATAGTGAGAGCCTATCTATAAGATAGAAGAAAATGCACTGCGTGATGATTCTGAAGTATACTATTTACAACGAGATCGAGTAACTGTAAATATCGTCAACAGACGTTGGTTGAACACCTACATCACGATTATACTTACCAGGAGTCCAATCGTGACAGCGAGTTGTTCAGGATGTGTAAAGACAAGACCTTGAGTGGAACGCGAAGATATATGGTAATGTTCAACTTGATATCCTTGATTTTTTAAATATAACGTTGCTTCTGAGATATCAGATTCAATATTAATGCTACCAACAAGATGAGTTTCCATAGGTCCTCAAACCTTATATTTAAGGTTTGTTACTTCTATTCTTGTTATTTTTTGTATACTTGTTCCAAGACCGAGTTCATTAGTTCCATATTCTTTCACTGCTTTAACAATTGCAGGTGGTGGGTAATTTTTTATGGCTTCTTGCTCAATCAAATTTCAGATCGCTTGTGGACATTTTAATCTATCACTATCTTCTATAGTATGTTCATGGTCGAGAGAATTATTATAACATTCAATTCGAACCAATTGTGAGGAAATTAACCACGAAACTTTAATTTTTGCATGACAGAGATCTGCTGGTCGAATTGTGGTTTTCCTGCGCTTGTCAGTTGAAATTCCTTCCTTTTGTCGTGTGCTTGATTCTTGGTGTTTAGCGAAACGGCAATTATAAACTTTCCAAAAATTGCCATTGACAAGTCTATAATAATAATGTTGTGTCCATATATTTGTTACCAATGGTCACCAATTCTTCTCAAAATCTTCGATTGGAATCTCGAATGGCTCATTTACATTGAATAAATGGTTACGTTTTTCATCGGAAGCAAGACCAATAAGTGAGTTAGTGATATTCATTTTTATTAGGATTAGGCGTTCGAGACAAATAGTAGTTTATTGATTATTCTCAAGATTATTAGCTATTGTTATTAATATTACCGTTAAAGCTTGAACTAGCTATATAATTTATATATTTTTTAAGAGACTAAGTCTCGAAATTACAATTGATTCTTTATTCACCTTTTTCTATTATAATTGACAAATACTAAAGATATTTTTCTCTTGTATTGA